AAAGCATGAAAACCATAACATAAATCATACACACAATCAAACAATCAAACAAGCTCAACGGGGAGATAACATCCATCAATCACTCAGAGCACAGATCAGAATATCCCTTCCTCCATCATACCACAGCGGACGACATTAAATTAAACATGTTTCTCAATTCTCTTGCTCTAAGAGCAATTTTGTAATTTCATCATGCACATGTCATAATCACCAAAATTGTTCATTCTCAGTTCTAATCACACATATTCTAACCACCTAAGGTCCATCATGCTTGCATACTAGCTTGTCCTAGTGATCACTACCCGTATTACTTACCAAAAATCCAGATGGTTACTAATTGGAATGAAGCGTGTCCTGTGAAGCTCGCTTTTCCACTAGTTGGGAGCCCCATATTTCTTGAAAGCTCGCTGGTAGGTCCTGAATCAAGTTAAATTTAGGCCAGTATCAAAACTGGGACAAAAAACAGTCGAACGGGAGTTAAATCGGGATAAAAGGGAACCTCACACGCTGATTCACGCGCCTCACGTGCTCAGAGGGGGTTCACGTTCGCGTATCATGTGTTGGGTGTAAGGAAGTCGCGCAGGGGTGCTTGACACGTGTCACCCACTGACGGGAACCCTTTGACTTCGATGGTGTGGGTTCGATCCCTGAAGCATGCAGATTTTTCTTGCCTTTTTCTCTGCGCGACACGCAGCTGACATGATAAATGTGTACTATCCAACTTTGACGAGAGTCTTAGAGTTTTTATACGAGTATAATTGCAATTTTGTAAATATATTAGTTGTATTGTCCTTGTTTTTTTTTTTTTTACTTTCTACTTAGGCTAACCTTGTACACTTGTATGTATTCTTTAGTGAATGGAACTGATATTTTTCTTTTTTCAAACCTTTAGCATTAATATTTACATATATTATATTTGAACTACTTGTTTTCCCCTTAATTATTTGCCAGCTTGTTAGTTATTGATGATTTGGAATGTAATCTGCTACCTGTTGACCAGGTCGCTGCCAGTTCTCTAATGACAGTTTGTCAGCTAATTGGACCAGATATGATTGCATTGCATCTTATACCCCAACTTAGAGAGGTATTCGATGAGCTTGCTTTTTCGCAGGAAGCTGCCTATCGATCTACTTCTCTTGGCAAAAACATGAAATTTTCTGGACCAAGCAGTGATGGAGATGTCCCAAATGAAGGCCGCATGGACCTTGTGTTAGCACCATCTTGACCCTCATTAAACACTGAAGTTTTGTTCTCTCATAACTCATATCTTTACTTTGAAATTGCAGACTGATTTTGTATCCTACTTTTGCATCTATTCTTGGGATAGAAAAGCTCCGACAGTGTTGTACTACATGGTTGCTTCTTGAGCAATATCTTCTTAGGTACCATCACTGGAAGGTAGGAGTAGCTTTTTAGGATGGTCTTGGATTACGCTTCTGTTGATTCAATCAAAATATAATTAAACCTGCATTTCGATTTGTTTATGCACATCTCTTAAGGTATTTTTGCTTTAGTGGGAATGTACAGGGGAGTCATCCCGATGCAGTTCAGATAAATTAATGAGCAAGAAGACTGAATTCAGTAAGGGTTCAACTAGTGAATACAGTCCTGCCAAACTTTTACTTAATGGTGTAGGGTGGTCAATCCCTCAATCACAAAGGGCTCAAGGTGCCAAAAACTTGATGCCCCTAAGACGGCTCCATGATGTTCATCAAGGTTCCATGCAAATGCATGCATCAATATGTCACTCTATAAAGCTTGAACCCTGGTTTTGGCTCCCTAGTATAGCATCTAGCTGGGATGGACCTGATTTTCTTGGCCGTGCAGTCGGTCTGAAAGAAGAACTTCCATGGAAAATAAAAGCATCTGTTATTTACTCAGTTCGTGCGCATCATGGGGCAGTAAGATCTTTGGCCATTTGTCCAGATGAATTTAATGTTTTCACCGCTGGAATAGGATCTGGATTCAAAGGAATGGTTCAGAGGTGGGAGTTGTCTGGAGTTAACTGTGTTTCTGGTTATTATGGCCATGAAGAGGTTTTCTTCTTTCTTTTCTTTCTCTTCCTCCTTTTGTTATCATAATGAGACCTCATTTTTCTTGATTAAATAACATGGGTTGTTTTTCTCTGAGTCCTTTGGAATTCAGAAATCAATTGACAGTTATATTCAAAATTTCCCGGTTGTTATTGGTTATGGAGTTCGTGATTATTTTTAATTTTGTTCTGAAACTTATAGGTTGTCAATGACATTTGTGTTTTGTCGCCTACTGGAAGAATAGCTTCTTGTGATGGAACTATACATGTCTGGAATAGCCGATCAGGAAAGCTCTTATCAGTATTTGCAGAGTCATCAGTGGATTCTGCACATCTTGCAAGCCCTTTATCTTCTGTTTTAAAGACAAATGCTGACCATGCCAACTCGATAAGTTCCAATTCATTGTCCAGTGGAATATTGACTAGTGCGTTTGATGGAAGCTTGTATACATATATGCACCATATAGAATTTGCTGAAAAGCTTGTAGTGGGCACTGGGAATGGTTCTCTGAGGTGTAAACATAATTTGGTTTTCAGATTGATTTTAAAGCTAATTTATATGAGAATAAAATAAACTCATGCTGATTATCTTATGGATAATTATTTTTCCACAGGTTTATTGATGTTTCTCAAGGTCAAAAGCTTCATCTATGGAGAGGAGATGGCATTGAGTCTGGTTTTCCTTCTCTTGTCTCGACTATTTGCTCTTGTGGATTTGACAAAATGGTTGCAGATGGTGCTTCGGCTATGCCTTCCTGGATTGCAGCTGGCCTAAGTTCAGGGTATTGTAGGCTATTTGATGCGAGGAGTGGAAATGTTATAGCCACTTGGCGGGCACATGATGGATATGTAACCAAGGTAATTTTAACATGCTTAAGAAAAACAGCTGTAGGATGATCTTGAGTTTGATTTGCCTTCTATGCTTCCAGTTGGCTGCACCAGAAGATCATATGCTTGTTTCTAGCTCTCTTGACCGGACTTTACGAATTTGGGATCTGAGAAGGTTTGTGCAAATTTTTATGCAAACTATATGCGCGTGCACTGAGTTGTGTAGTTAATAGAAGTTTTTAGTTAGATTACGTTAGTTTGATTTCTGACAATTCATCTGTTCTTCGATCATGAAAGTTGTCTGGCAGAGGAAAATAAGTTGTAGGCAGCAAAAGAAAGGATGCTTTTAATTTCAATTCTCTCCAGCAATACTATAATTGTAATACGTTTAGGAGCTCTGGATTGCCAACATATCAGCAAAAGGAACCATATTTTAGATCCAATTAGACTTATTTTCTTAAATAATATTGCTTATATTTCTTGGATGACAGCCTTTCTTATTTCTTTTGTAGGCTTTCCCCATCAACGCCAATTATATTGAGGGGTCATAATGATGGTGTATCTAGCTTTTCGATGTGGGGCCAAGACGTCATCTCAATTTCCAGAAACAAGATTGGGCTGTCATCTTTGTCGAAATCTGCGGATGAAGTAAGTCTTGAACACTTTTGAACATGTTCTTGTCAGTCGGTCATGTACTTTATACAATAAGAGTTTTCCTTTCAATAGCATTGGTTCAGGTGCACTATTATTATGAAATTGGAAGTAGATTTAGTATCGGGCTAATGCTTTAACACAATTTCTATGAAACCCTTCATCTCCAATAAATCATTTCTAAGTTTGGTGGAAAAAATATGATGTCCTTCACTTTGGTATACAGTCACTCAGAATTGTGCCGTTGGTTATACGTTTTCTCAAGCTTTGCTTGGTAACCATCTAGTTTTTGGATTTTGAAAATTGTGCAGGCTCATTTTTTCTGCTATAAATTTCATATTTCTTAAAAATTTAATTCTTGGTAAAAAACCAAATGATTATCAAACAGGTTTTAGTTTTTTTATAAGTTTTTAGTTGTGCACAAATCATCCATAATTCATGTTAAATCTAACTAGGTGGACCCATCATGCGCAGGATGGACAATATCGAATTATACCTCAGAACCTCTCGAGCGTGGACCAGGGAACAAGAAATTTATCAGTATTGTCTAGCATTAGTATTCTTCGTTATTCAAGATTATTTGTGGTTGGAACAGAAGATGGTTACATGAAAATTTGTTGTTAGACATGTTATGATGGTTGGAGAAAAGGGAAATGATTTCATCTTAGTTTTGTTCTATTGTTGGCAAAGGTGTGAATACTTGTGAGTAGTCACTATGAGGGTGTGATAAAATTTGAATTACACATTGTTTGAGATTTGAATATTTCAGGCAAGAACATTGTTTCTTGAGATTTGAATATCTCAAGGCAAGAACATTGTTTGAGATTCGAACCACTCCACAAGAAAGATCGATCATGTCTAGCTTGAATGATTTTTGTTGATCAAATATCTTAACGCAAGAACACTTGTTTGAGATTCGAATCACTCCACAAGCAAGATTGATCATTGATCATGTCGAGCTTGAATGATTCTACATGTAATCTAAACTGCAAATTGCAAAAAAAAAAACTTAGCCATTGGCTAAAGAAAAGCACAAATTTCTTTTACTATATTTTTCATTTCAAGTCTACGCATTCCAATAGTTGTAACATTCATATTTAATGACATATTTAATGACCATAATTAGCCATTATGTAAATGTAATCTAAAGTAAATAAAATGTCTTAAAATACAATAACTATAAATTATATTGAAAGGGAATAAAAATGAAAGAAAAGGAAATAAAAATAATATTTTAAGAAAATGAAAGAAAAGGAAAAAAGTGGTTGTGGGTATGGAAAAGGCAGCAGGGGTATCATATAACTTTTGGTTGATGAAGATATGTAGCTTGGGAGGTTACAAGAGTGAAGATTCTTATTCCTTGAACCCCGTTTTTTGATAGGTATAATCGTTTGCCATGTTGTGTTGACGACTGCAAGCACAGAATATTACTTTCATAACGGCAGAAAGTAATGCTTTGGCACGTCTCGGAAACCATATAAGAGGGAGGATGGTTTTCAGGCCTCATAATCTCACTAACTAAACCCCCATCATTTGGCCATTGTACTCTGTGTTGAACCATACAGTTCCTTTTATTGTACTCCCTTTTGCCATGGCCAATCTCCTTGGTGACGCTATGGACGGTACCTCTCTCCCTCTCCCCCCCCCCCCCCCCCCCCCCCCCCC